ATTTGAGAGGACGAGAGAGAGAGAGAGAGAGAGAGAGAGAGAGAGAGAGAGAGAACAGTGGGTGGGTGGGGGAAACTTCTTTTTTAATTAAAACAACATTAGAATAATTATAAAAAAAAATACAAAAAGAAAATAAAAGGGCATAATCATCTTTTTAAGTTTTTTTGGACCAAAAACCCAGAAAAACCTTGATTTTGGACCTTCCATGCAAGTTAGAAACTTTTTGAACCCCATCCAAAAGTTTTTGAAAACCATAAGGACCAAATTTATAGTTTTGTCTAAATTTTCGTTAGTCAAGAATCTCCACCTCCATTTTTGTAATAGTGCCAAATTAAACACAACCAAACTCAAGACCTCCACAAGTTTTTATCAACAATCACCATCTCCCATTTTATCCAATGCATCTTACCGTTTTCTTTATTTCCAACCCAAAAAAATGTAGCACGAATTGATTCCACCAAATTAGCCACATATTAAAGTATGTCACTAATTACATCACGTATTGTATTCAATATTAACATAAGTTAATCTTTAATGCAATTCATATGAATACTATACATTTATAAAAATAAATCTTACATCATGTTCTTATTCTCTATCAATGACGAGTCGTGACCACTAATTTACACATTTTTATCACTAAATTAAATTATGTGTTCTATTTCCTCTATCGTAAGGCATATTTGGTTATTAGAAAAACTAAATGTTACTTAGCATGTCATTTCTTCTATTCCATCTCCTTGTCTTAATGGTATCTATATATACAATTCCTAGTAAATATGAAAATATCAAGTAAAGATTCAATGTGGTAAACATTAAGAAAAATGTCATATATGCATCTGTCTAAAGACATTTTCCAGTTGTATAACTTATTTTTTTAATAGTCTGTCTTAACATTTACAAATTGTTAGCAAACCAAATCAACACATGAATCTTCTCAATAACATTCATTTGGTTTTGTTTTTTTCTTGTTAACTTCTAAAACAATATTAGATATATAAGTAAGTGAACTATACAAATTTGGTGATCCGTTTTTTTAGTATAGGAAGGTTCTAAGAATAACGTAACTTGAATGAGTTCGATGATCCAACTACGAGAGGATTGACTATACTATCATACAAATACCATGACAAGGAACATCAAACTTTAAATTCAAGAATTTGGTAAAGACAAATATCACACCAACTTTACGATTTTGCGAAGGAAACCGTCATGTTATAATATTATAAACTGTCATGTTATAATAATTATCCTCTTCATGACTTCATTAGAGAAACATGAAATGGTACGAGCTTTGGAAGACTTCTAACTTTTAGTTTCAAAAAAAAAATTGTTCCATAGGAAGATCTTTTAGTTTTCTTATAAACAAAAACTCATTAACCAAAAGTTACTTCAACTAGTATTTACCACAAAGAAACTTTTAAATATTATAACAAATTTACAAGCTTGCGCTTAAAAATGTATTTATATACTTGTTTTTTTATCCCTTTTACTAATTTTAGACGTTTCAAAAGATTGCAGATATTTTTGCTGAATATTCATATACAAATAATAATTACAAGTTCAATTTCTTCTATTTAAGTTTGATAAACACACCCATAATCATTGTCGTCTTCAAACAAATATTGGTCTGAACTTTTCCAAGCATTGCATATCATTTGAATATTATAACCAATCATCGTTATAAGAAATATTTCCAAGGATATTTTACTTGGGTACCCATCACAACCCAAATCAATACCAAATGAGTCAACAAATAGATTTGCCAAACTCTAGATTCTTTATCCTATTACCAATATTTTTCTTTTTTCTATCAATTTATGCAACAAATAAAACAATGTATAATAATATAATAAACTAATAGAAAATAAAATTTCATTTCATATACAATTGTTTTGCCTATCTTATATTTATATACATACTAGTTTAGTAATAAACATTGATTATTTTAAATTATATAATCATGTATTAAAACTATATAATATCAAACATCTTAATGTTCTATACCCACATGTTACTCATAAATCCTCATAAATCCAACATGAATACCATTAAGTAGAATATATATGGTTTAATGTTACAATTTTAATTTTGTTACGATGAATTAGTTTTTTAAGCTTTATTTGATTAACTTTATAATTTTCTATTATCGTAGTTATTTAAAACGTCATATATTGTTTTTGTGTTGAAAGATAACAATATAATTTTTTTATATAATATTGCTTTTAACAATTATAAGTTATTTGTAGGCTACTTATTTAAAAATTATTAATGTTTATAAAAATAGTTTAGGAAATATTTTAGTTAATTTGGGATTATAATTTAGGTTTTACATGTAACACTAAAATTTATAACCTTTAACTATTTATAAAATAGCCGTTTGATTTTCTTTAAGTTTAATTAAAATTTCTATTTAAGTTAACACGTTACCATTATATTTAAATTAACAATTTATGTATTTTATACATACTACTTAAAAATTATGATTTTAAACCGACAATTCTTCATATACAACAACCTATCAAAATTAAGAAGTTAAATATAATATGTTAAAAGTTAAAGACATAATTTTATAAATATATAAATAGAGGTAAATATATTCATTTAATATTAAGGTTAAGTTAATTTTAGGATTACAATTTATATTTTACACTTACTTAAGGTTATTAACAAATTTATAATCATTGTTAGAATTAAATTGAAAAGTAATATGACTTTTCAAATAAATGTGGTGAATATATATATATATATATATATATATATATATATATATATATATATATATATATATATATATATATATTATACTTACATGGAAAATATAAAATAGTCATAACTTTTAATTAGATATCTTTTTGAAGGGGGTACAAAACAAACAACCATATTTAACACATATAATTCAATATTATCCACATCGAATTACATAATATATGAACAATAACATGTATATCATCTACTAAATATTAATGATTAAACCACAACATACAACGATTATATTAAAAGGATCTAAAATCAAGAAAAATATAAAAAATAATTTGCATATAGCAAACTTGCAAATTTATAACATAATAACATACCTCGAAAAAGTGGTAATAAGACCTCAGATCAACATAAAAACTTTTAAAGCTTGTTTTTTTATGAGGTCTGTATCTGATTTGTATGCATGTATATCCAAAATATTAACATTTTTATAGTAAATATTTTCATTAAATGTTTATTAGACATAATAATATAAATTATAAAACCTTTGAATGTTAAATCATTTATAAAAAAAAATTGAGTTGTATTAGTTAAGAAAAAGTTTTAAATGAATATGATTTGTACAAAAATACCTGTATATATATATATATATATATATATATATATATATATATATATATATATATATATATATATATATATATATATATATATATATATATACCTTAATAAGCATTTAGCCTTAAATGCTGAATTTTAAGAGGTACAAATGTTATTACAGTATTTACAAAAACTTTATGCATCGCCGATAAGATAGATCATATCTGGTCAAAAAGTCAACAAAGCTCCATTTAATACCCAACCGTGTGCACTTTTTTGGAAAATATATCGGCTTTTGACCTGGCTTTCTCATTTGAATTCGTCGCCGCTACAAAAACCGTACACTATCACAAGATTCGCATGTCTCCCACCCAAATTTGTTTCCTGGAAACCCCAACTACCAAATTCGACACCCATCACCAACCACCACTCTTGCGGTGTTTCTAAACCTACCTCCTTCTTCTACCGATCGTCTGGTAAACCCAGTACCACCGGCATGGCGTCATACCACTCGTCACCACCGCCGGAGCACCATTGCACCGACGCTTCTTCTCTCTTTGAAACCCCTACACCCTCACCAATCTCTGTATAGAACTGTCATACACACACAATTTCTTGGTAACAGATCGAGGGAGATGAAGCCATCTAAAAATGTCGATGTTTTGTTCCTTCAACCCAGTGATAAGCGTTGATTTAGGGCTTATTTGAGAAAGGTAATGATGTTTCAGATCTGGGATTTTTATTGCTTATAATCAGACCTAATTTAACATGCTCATAGTGTTTCTCCTCTTGCTTCCTATCGCATATATGTTGTCTGTAGGTCATGTAGCGTTCTTGGGATGCTGGTAAAAATCATCTTCTTGAAACTCAATCTCTTTGTTTTTCTTTATCTCTATCATGATTATGTGGAGATTTATGCTTCTTTTTATTTTGTTTAAACTGAAAGATCAGAATTTTTAAGATGTCTTTTAATGTATTTTATCTTAGTAACCAGTCCTAGGGTTTCTACCATCCCAGGGCAATGACGAGCTTAGATCTTATATGTGATTCACGGGAGTGAATCTAACTACAAGTATCTCATCTCCTTTTATATCTATACTATATTATATAGATCTTTGGGTTTTTACTCATTTTAGTTGTGTTTCCCCATATTTCGGCTTCTATCCCGCATCCCCAAATAAGGAAGAGTTTTTAACACCATCCCATTTTGGGTTATTTTCTTTTGGTTTTTAAGTTTTCAAATACAGGTCTATAAGGAGGTAAGGCTCTCCTAGTTTTTTTTTATTACGAGTTTTGTGCTATATGATTTTGTTTAACAAATCCATGTATGTTAATCAATAAGTCCTGCCTTACTTGGTCCATATAACCCAATAGAGCATTCGGCCCACTAACATATCATCACCCAAACGACGTCGTCAAAAAGCTCAACGATCTTAGGGTTCCATTTCCAGTAGTCAAATATTATTTAAATAGTTGGAATCCTCCAGTTCCACCATGTTATGTCTCCATCACATATAAATTCAGAAATCAAATTATATTATAAACTTTTGCTTTTTCAGAAACAAAAAGCTAAAGAGACAAAACATACCGAATCTAAGATAATCGATTCTAGCCAAAAACATAATTCAAAAAAACACAAAAGATCCAACTTCAACTAAAAATCTATGTTATCGAAATACATAATTATATTAAAAATATTGCTAATGGTGTGGACAGAAAGTGAGAAAGTAACTAGCTCCGGTGCAAGTAGCAATACTTGTCGGATCATCGTACGCATATGAATAAGCCCTCGGGCAAGCCACCTTGAAGATCCTCGAATACGCCGTCGGTTTACATGTTTGCGGGTTGCCGTAGCTCCCCGTACAACAGAATCTCGGCGAGTTAAACGCCGAACACGCGCTCTTACAGGCAACCACGCGCCGCTTGTCATGCGACCTGACCTGTAATCCCACCGGACACATCACATTTAGATCGCTAACGCACCCTGCATACGTGCATTTCCCGGTACCCTTAAATGGTGTTATAGATATCGGAATGTTGTACCCGTCGACGAGACTGACGTCGTAGAAGTCCTGTTCTGCGGTGAGGGTGATTTCGGCTAAAGTCGCCGGTGGGGTACCACCCATGCCGTTGCAGTAGAGTGACCCACCGCAGTCTCCTGTAGAGCATTTTCCTCGGCCGGAAGCGTCGAAGGCGCAGCCTTCACGGCCCCAAAGACGGCCGGACCAGGCGGGTGGGAGGAAGAGAGTGTAGGATCTTTTAGGGGGGAGTTTGAAACCGCCGCGTGCGAGGACTGGCTGTCCGGCACCGGGTTGGATTCCGGGCCAAACTGGGTGGGGGCACTTGTTAATCATCATAATGGTGGTGGCGGAGACGACATGGAAGAGGACGAGAGAAAGGAGGAGGAAGATGGAGATGCTACGGAGGTGCATTGCTTCCATGACTGAACAGAATCAGAGATTTGCGGTAGAAAGTAGGAGTGGAACAGAGAAAAAGATGTAGAGAGAGTAAGAGTGAGAGCTAGTGACCGACTCTCAAGTCGAATCACAGCAGACTACACACTACTTAATGTTAAATTTTAGGCCAGTCCGGAAGAATAATTAACGTCTTGTTTATAAAATAGAAAAAGATAAATGACTTGTACCCTAAAAGCCTAAGTTTTATATGTGTATTTGAAAAGAAAAAAAAAAAAACTCTTTAACACTTTGTTTGGCTTTAGCTATAATTTTTAACTAGACTTGTCACTTATCACTCACCTCACTTAGTCAGTTTCATTGTTAATTTTGTTACCTTTATAAAAATTGGCCCTTGTGCTTAACTTTGACATCTTATGTTGCCACACTCACTTGCAACTTCAAAATTGACCCTTGATTGGCTACTAAGCCATAAATTGAGGCATCCAATACGTTCTTCCCGTCCTTTCGACCACAACCCAGCCAACCTCGTAGCCTTTAGCTTCGCTAGAGAGGTTCGCTGTCAAAAACTCACCATCACCGAAAAATGGTTGTTACAACCTTCATCACCCCTTCATTCTCCTAATCGCTATCACTTTTCTATTCTCCCATCATGGGCAAACTCATGCCCTCAATTTCAATCTCCTATTGACAGAAAGTTTCGTCGGATAATCTTTTTCTTGTTGGAAAAATCTCAAAATTAGTCCTAAACTACAGGGACATATGGTGCAAATTGAAAACTTTTTTTGGCATTTGATGTAATTTTTTTTCAAACTACAGGGACCAAATTTGGACTATATATCTAAATTTATAACTGATTTTCCAAGAAATATAATAGAGTTAACCATGAAACTTGTTAAATGAGCTAGAGTAATAACTTTGCATAAAAGTTGTGGCCAATACCAACCAAAAAAATGTTGAAACTTTTCCCAGTTACACGTGTAAAACTTAGGGATTTTATGGTATAAATTTAAAGATAAATCTAACCCATTTTAATTAGGATTTTTCAAAATTTATCCAAACATTACGCTAAAAGGTTTGATGTTCCACATTTTGTATCACATAGACCTTACATAAAATTTTATTATTCTATTCATTTTATGAATATGGTATAATATCCATTCCATCAACTTATTTTTAAAATTAAAAAAAATGTAAATAAAAGGAAAAGAAAGTGATGGACAATGTTAAATTATGCCTTAAAACTTTGTTTTTAGAAAATGTTAGTCATGTAAAGTAACAAAATGGAACAAGTGGTGGACAAGGTTAAATTATGCCTTAAAACTTTGTTCATGAGTTTTAAAATTAAGGAAATAGAAGAAATATATAAGCCACGGAATGAAATACAAGGATATAGAAAAGAAAAAAAATATAAAATTAATTATATGTGTCGGACGCTGATTCAACTTTATCTAAGAAACTTATAAAAGTGGGACTCGACTAAGAAAATGTAAGGGTTTTTTTTTTCCTTTTAAAGAAGTAACATTCGTATCAGCAATCTAACATAGGCATTAAAGAGCGATATCGTGGCAACACCCCAATAGTGCTTCCTGACCTAGTGTTCATCTATTTTGCAGCTTTACTTTTTGCATAAACCTTGGAAGAGGGATTCACCTGAGTACTACAAGCCATCCAGGAAGCTATATAGCATTATTAATGGTGCATCTGGGTCGGCCGAGCAATTACATACCGTTAGTCTACATATGTATTATTGTATTTTACATATTGTATAGATATTAGACCTTGATCCCACAAATTGTATCTTTATATTGTAATTAATGTGAATGGGATCATTATGGGAAAATATACCACGTTCATGGTATCAGAGAATAAAACTGACCTAAAAATCCTCTCAATCCTAGCAATCATCGGTCTCTTCTTGCCGACTAATCTCTACTTCTTTCTTCGGTCTTATTCTTCTATAGCGCTCAAGATTTGTGAGGTATTAAATTTGTAGGTATTTAAGGAAAATAATTTTATGAGTTCAGACTTGGGCCTTTGGGCCTTCATGATAAGGTTGATGACGGACGAACGTGGGGCGTCAACCCCATGTACGCCCAGCGTAATCAAGGATATAAGACACGGGCTTAACCGTGTACGCCCAACGTACCAAATGGTATGCGCAGCGTATGCGCGTAGTGTCTTAAACCCTAATTTTGGGGACTTATCCGTATATAAAGGATGTTATGACCTTGGACCAGCCTCCCTAACTCCCTTAAGCAGTCATCTCGAAAACCCTAGCCTACTTTTGTGTGTTCTTAGCCATTGGAGAGCATTTGGTGTAGTTTTGGGGGCATTAGAAGAAAAAGTAACTTGAAGAAGGAGCAAGGATCCACCAAGAGCTTGTAGATCCAGAAGAGTAGCACCATTTCTGACTTAGTTGAGGTATCAACTTCCAACCTTGGCCATTATCTTCTTAGATTTGTTGTTGGGAGTGTTTAAAGTTACTTTTGGACTCTATTGTTGAGAGTTCTTGCATGTAACACCTGTAGATCCAAGCTAGTCACTTTAGAGACAATGAGAATTAAAAATGACTTTTTGATATAACATTAATTAGAATAAATAATCTTAACCAAGTTATAGTATATGTCACAAAGGTTATGTACATATAAAGACCGCCGATATCCGAGTTATAACGAAGAAGTTATGACCCGTCGAAGTTTTACGGCAAAACCAGCGCGACACCGGGAATTGTAAAAAGTGAGTTTATGACAAAATAATTTCTAGCCTTAGCGATCTAGACGAAAGTCGTAGTATATGTTAAACTGAGAACGTGCATAGAAAGAACGTCCAAATCTGACTTCGTATGAGGAAGTTATGATTTTTCTAAAATTTAGCATAACATTGCACAACCCGAAATTCGAATTTTAGATCAGCGATTTTCAGCCAAAATAATCTAAACGAGAAATGAAGATATTGTTATAGGAGTTAAACGATAAAAAGACAGATGAAAACGGAGCTCGTATGCGAAAGATACGGACGAAGCTTAGTCTCTACTTTTCAAGCGCGGCGAATTCGATACAGTTTTGTAAATCTAAGATAGAATGAGAATTAGCCAACAGGATCTAAATAAAAATTGTAGTACTCGTAAATACCAACGCATGGATATAAAGAACGTCGAAAATGGAGCTCGTATGTTAAAGATATGGACGGAACTTAGTCCCTACTCTTCAAGCGCGACGAATTCGAATATAGTTTTGTAAATCTGAGCTACAATGAGAATTAGCCGACGAGGTCTAAATAAAAGTTGTAGTACTTGTAAATACTAATGTGTGGATATAAATAACGTAGAAAACAGAGTTTGTACATGGAATATACGGATGATGCTTAGGGCTACTCTACGATAAAATCTCTATAAATAAGAGATGAACTTTTCATAATTTCTTCACACCATAAGTCTTTCTTTCTCTCTCTAACTTCTCTCTAGCCTCCCTAAACCCCTCCCAAGTCTAGGGAACCTCCATAGCACGATAAGAAAACCACGGAGCGCCCGACGGCTCCGAGAAGAAGAGTTTTCGGCTCGGAAATGCTGCTCTAGTGAACCCGTTTTTTTTTTTTAATAAAAACCTACTGTAAGTGAGCTACGCCTACACTTATTTCTAATATAGCTTTTATTTAAAATATAGTAATGTTATTAGGACCTTATAATAATTATTTGGGCTATTATTATGAGTTATATAAGTGTCATTGTAATATCTTTTTAACCACTCACGGTACGGGGAATCTGGTTTAAAGGGATGCATAGGGTTGTTGGATTTTAGAAGTGTTATATGCCAAAATGGTCCTGTCCTGCGGTGTTTTACATCTGGCCCCTATCTGTACATAGTGGTTGGAAAATATTATTTAAACACTTATAATAATAATAATAATAATAATGCTAAGACTAATAATTAATCACGGTAAATATTAAACTAAAATCTAGTGGTAATAATACCTGGTTTCGTCGAATTAAATTATATTGTTAAGAAGCGAAACATTGTTCGAGTTTGGAATCATCACTTTAACAAGTGAGTGCATAGTTACTTTCATCTTACACATAGATACGAAGTATTTTATATAAATTACGTGCTATGTATGCATATTATCTGAATACTTGCTGTCTATGCTGAATGAATGATTTTATACATGTTTTAAATGATTTAAACTATATATTTATTTTATATGTACAAATATGTTGGGATAAAACATGGGTAGATGAAATAGTTGATGTGTGATGAAATAAAATGATGAGAGATAGGTGATGATGAATCGGTGATGTAGGATGAAAGATACTATAACCTTGTCCGACAATTTGGAGATGTAGTCATCTACCAGAGTATAGATAGCGACCAAGGACTATTATAGACAACCCCGTGAAAACACCAGCAGGCTCATAACCTATAGTTGATGAATTACGAGTTCAGGCGATGTTGTAACTACGTATTCATGTGATGATACTCTAACCCCTTACTATGAATTACGAGTTCAGGCGATGTTGTAACTACGTATTCATGCGATGATACCCTAACCCTTGTTAGGCACGTATTGAGGGAGTAATCCCTGAATCAATATTGTCTATGCGATGTAGACGATGATCCTTAGGGAGAGTCCTTAGGAACAAACATATAAGGAAATGCGATGTAAGGAGATGAGAGGTAAATATGATGTAGGAGACGACCTTTAGGATAAATCCTTAGAGAAGGTACTTAGGAATAAAGAAGATAATGCGGATGGGTAATTGGGTTAATTGTTTGATGATTAAACATAATAATTATATTATTATGGGTTGAAAACCCTATGTACTCACCAGGTTTCCCAACCTGACCCACTCAGTTTACTTGTATCACAGGTGACGATGTGAAGTTACATTACACTGAGAGATTAAGGAGATATAGATCACTAGTGTAAATGAATGTAAGTTCTGTTTATGCTTATGTTTCTGTATTGAAGATGACATCCCAAATGTTTTAAAAGGAATAAAAATACATTTATTCGGAAATGCTTTGATA